TACACTGTAGTAAAAGTTACACAAATGTGGTGTCTGTCTCAAAACATCTTAGTGTACTATTCTCAGCCTTCTTGTGATGATTTAAGATGATGCGATGCCTATGTGATGAAAAGAAGTGAGATGAATGACAGGCACTATGATGTAATATAATATCAGACTACATGTCCACAATACTAGATCTGATAACTAAGAGGGCTTCTAAGTGACTAATGGTCTGGTGGCATATATAGCACGAATATGTTGGACAAAGGGATGATTCATGCCCCGGGCAGGACAGGGTGAGATTTCATTATGCTACTCAGAACAGCACGTAATATAAAACTTTTGAATTATTTCTGGAATTTTCCATATTAATATTTTCAGATTGGAGTTGATCACAGGTATTTTCTGAAGCACAGAAAGTAAAATCTCAGGTAAAGGAGGACTATTGTACCAATCTCAAAAACAAGTGAATGAATTCATATAGAACTGATACAGAAATATCTATCAATTATTTTTAATGGACTATTTATTTATTTATATGTGGAGCTGAGAATTGAACCCAGTGCCTCAAACATGCTAGGCAAGTGCTCTACCACTGAACCATAACACCAGTCCCCTATCGATCTTAAATACTGTTAAATCCTTTGCCACTTAATCCTTTAGTCAAAAAAGATGATTTATACTGTTTCACCAAGAACCAAAAGAAGAGATCAGCTCACAGAATAGTTAAGTATACTGTAAACTGACAGTTAAAAAAGTTTTAGGAAGCTGGGGTGTGTATAGCTCAGTGGTAGAACACATGCCGAGCATGCACAAGTCCCTGAGTTTAATCCCCACAACAAATAAATGTCTTAGAAAACTGTTGAATTTTTATATTTTACTCTACCTTGACAAATTATGTCAAGGTAGAGTAAAATAAGTATGCTCTTAGTATTTTTAAAAATAGCTCAGTTTGCTCTTCTTTGGCTGAGCAGTATGTCAACACAACAAAACACTGCACAATGTTGTAACATTTCTCCAATATGAGTTTGTTTCCAACTTAACAACTTTGTATGTTTTCCATACAAAAACAAAAACCTTTTCTAATCTCTTGTCTCTATTCTGGATATAACTACATACTACAAAAATGACAGACAAGGCTGAAGTGGTCATCCAACTTTAGCTTGTGGTCACTTACCCTTTTTCCTTTCAATATGTAGTCTTAGAAAAGGAGTTTAGACCAAGGTTTTAGAACAAATGTTATCAATAAGGGCTTGGTGGTCAATGTAATTGCATTTAAACATTTATAAATTACACTTTTTTTTTGGGGGGGGGGTACTGGGGGTTGAACTTACGGGCACTCAACCACTGAGCCACATCCCCACTCTATTTTGTATTTTATTTAGAGACAGGGTCTCATTGAGTTGCTTAGCCCCTCACTTTTGCTGAGGCTGGCTTTGAACTCAAGATCCTCCTGCCTCAGCCTGCCCAGCTACTGGAATTACAGGTGCACACCACCTCACCCAGCTATAAATTACACTTTTAAAGTAGTTTCGTGCTGTGATTAGTTTTAAGTAAATCATATTGTGGGGGTGAAGTTGAATGGCAGAGCACTTACCTAGCATGCCCTCTCCATCACAAAACGAAGTCAAAATCATGTTGATTTTTTTTTTTTTTTAAGAAAAATACATTTTAGGATTTATTTTTCATGAAACCCATTTAGGATAAAAAAAAAAAAAAGCAGCACCAATAGTATTTTATAGAAATGGTATTTCTATAAAATAGTATTTTATAGAATCTAGACCTGATACTGCTGAGAACCACTATTCTTATCCTCGAATTTAGGTCTTAATTTTCTAAAGAATTCTCTTATGAGAGATGGGGTCACAGTGGTTGATTGCTTGCCTAGCAAGCACAAGGCTCTGAATTCCATCCCCAGAACCCTAACCCCCAACACACACGCAAACAAAACAAAACAAAACAAAAAAAACTCTATGATCAAATGTACTTTGAAACACAATGCTGCTTGAGTCAAAGAAATACCTGAGTTTAATATTATGCTCTAGAAGTATGAAACTATGTCACATTAGGTAGAATCAGGTTCTTTGGAGGGAGGGGCCTAGAAATCTAAATACTTATTAAGTGGCTGTATTAATGCTAAAGTTTGAAAATGATTATCTAAATCAAAAAAGAGTATCAACTTCTCTGGCCTAAAATAATTGTGTTGTGGCTTCGTGTGATGGCACATGCCAGAATCCCAATAATTTGGGAAGCTGAGGCAGGAGGATCACAAGTTTGAAGCCAACCATAGCAACTTTCTAAAAATAGAAAAAAGGGTAGGAAAGGTGGCTCACAGTAAAGCATCCTAGGGTTCAATTCCTAGTACCACAAAAAAAACAAAACAAAACAAAACAAAAAACCATTATCATCCAAGTTAATGCTTTTCTTGAACTCTCGTTTATAATACAAAACAAAACAAAAAGGTTTAGAGACTGAATTACACAAAAAAGTCTGGAATTTCAAACCTGTCTTAGAATTGAGGATCATAGCTCTTATTATTTATATTCTATAATAAATCTTATTTCTAAAACTGTGCAAAATTATGATCTTAGTTGGCCACTTGTTTAACTATTTAAAATTTAAATACAGTTGATCCTGTGGGGTGAGACACATGGATTCAACCAACTAGGGCTGAAAAATATGGAGGGAGGAAAACCAACTGTGTTTGTAGTGAACATGTACTTTTAAAAAATTATTTCCTAAATGTTACATTGCAATGGCTATTTACATAACATTTACAATGTATTCAGTATAAGTAATCTAGAAATTATTTCAAGTATAAGGAAGGTTTTGCATAGATAATATGCAAACATGAGGCTATTTTACATAATAAATCTGTGGATGCTCAAATTCCTTATCTATGGAGATCCTGGAACCAAAGTCCATTAGCTACCAAGGGACAACTGTTAAAGAAACTTTAAAATGTGTTTAAGAATTAAGAACTAGGGCTGAAGTTGGGGGTGGAAGGGTAGGGGTGTAACTCAATGGTAAAAGCCACATAGCATGCATGAGGCTATGTAATCCCCAACACCTCCAAAAAATTAACATATAATTAAGAATTTTATTAAGATACAAGTTTCACCTCTATCAACTTTCATACTTGCATGCTAATGAAGCAGCCTACCAGTTTCAAAGATGATATGCCGCAGTCTGGCTGGGCACAAAATAACCGGGAGGTCATGAGCCACTTGTAGGTTCAAACAGGAACTACTTTATTGCCCAAACTCCACGGGAACTCCCCCGAGAACTCAAAAGTAGCGGGCACCCAAGGTAGCAGGAGCTGCCTTATTGCCAGACAGCAAAGGTTTATATACACAACTGAATACACAGCTTGTTTCAATTTAGCATCATCCAGTTACAGCAATCAGTTATTATCTTAATAATTATACACAGCTTAACTTAATTATCATCATCTTAATGGCTCACTGGCATTACTTCTCAACCACTCCTTCTGGCAAAATGCCAGGCACCTTCTTGATTCGGTTGTGGCTCTCAACAGTGATAGAAGAAAGAGACAGCAATAACATATTTGTAGCAAAAGCATAAGCCAAAGTATCAACATTTTTGCACTGGTTCCCAGAGCCCCAGTTCCCACAGGACAAAGTGAAGAGAGTCAACTGATATCTACACAGGCAGTGGGTTGTGTTACAGAAGAGGAACACTAAGCTTAGGGAACCCTAATCTTTTAATGTGGGCAATAAGCAAGCCCACCCTTTGGCTCCAGAAGAAGACATTATTTTTTTTTTTTTATTAAACAGTATAGCATATAACTGTATACACATAGCATATATTCCTGCTTTTTGCTGTGGTGGGAGATACTATCTTTTATAAAGACTGTTCTTTATACAACATCCTTAACAAAACAGAAACAAAGAGAGGTTGCTACCTCACTAGCAAGAGCGTAGAAATAGAGACCCTTAGAAAATTGTCTCCTACAAATAGAGACTGTTGCTAAGATAAATGGATTCAAGACCACAATCTATTTAAAGCATCAATTTCATACATCCCTTGACCTAGTGTAACTACTTGATTAGCATATTATCTCAAATTAAATCAACCAGTTTAGGTTAAAAGTGATTTCCCTTTTCCAGTTACTTTGTATTATTTGAAGGATGTGCTCCAATATTTGCCATACTATTTAAATTTAAAATGCTCTACCAGAAACAATTACTGTTCTTACTTTAAATGTTTCAAACCTGTTAACGTTAGCAATGGGAACTACCTGTCAAAAGTCTCATTTTCCAGTAACAAACACTACAAAGAGAACAGTAGTAACTTAGTCATTGCCTACAAAATACAAGAAAACCCTGCATTTCCAAATTACTTGTTTTATTTTACTTTACCCTTCACTGTCTCAAAAACAAAACCTTCGAAAGAAGCAGACAACAAACCACCGTCTCTAGGTTTCTTTGTCCCCAGCAGAAGCGGAGAGGATTGCGAACTCATTAAGGTAAAGAACCCCAAACATGCAAGATAGGAAACAGACGGCATTCAATCTGCAATCAATCATCAAAGAAAGTCACCATCACTTAATCTCCATCCCTCCCAACCCCCCCCCACCTCCAGCTCAAATAACGTGGGTATATAAGAGATGATTAGGATCATATGGACCTGGACAAAGCTTTGCAGAGGCAACGGGTAGCAGTTAACTAGATGCAGTCGGGCAAAGAATCCGCGAAACGGAGTACAGGAGACTCCGCCAGAGCTCTGCAAAAGTGCGGGTCGCAAAGGCCACCCAGCCCCGAAGGAGAACGCTGAGCAGCAGCAGCGGCGCGGCCAAGTCCCCAGCGCCCGTGGAAGTTGCGAGGCGAGCCGCAGAGCGCGCGGGCCCTCCATGTCACCGCCGACTCAGACCCTCCTCCTCGCCCCTCCCCCGCCGCGCACCCCGGGCGGCGGCGACATGACAGCGGGTCGCGCCGCGCAAGGACGCCCGCCTCCAGCAGCTCCGTCTCCGGGTGTCCCCCGCGCCCGCCTCTCACCTTGGGTGGCGAAAGGCGAGGAGCCGCTGACCGGCGAGCCGGGGGCGGGGACGGGCGGCGGGGTCTCGGCAGAGCCCAGCATGGGCGCCGGCAACATGAGGTAGCGCTGGGGCGCGGGCAGGCAGCGCTGGCAGAAGGAGTGCAGGCAGGGCAGCAGCTTGGGCGCCCGGCTCTGGATGTTCTGGTGGCACACGGCGCAAGTGTCCAACAGGTTGAGCCGGGCTGCCTCGCCGCCGCGCTCCGAGTCCGGGCCCTGCCGACTCTCGGCCTCGTTCTCTCCGCTCGGAGCCGCCGAGGGCCCCCCGGCGGCCGCCGCCGGAGCCGCGGCCGCCGCTGCCTTCTCCACAGCCACCTCCATTGTCCTGCCCCGCCGCCGCCGCCCGGGAAGGGGGAGCGCGGTCTCCGCCCGCCGCCCCCGACGACCTCCTCCTCCTCAGAGGCCGCTCAGTCAAGCCGCGGAGAGCAAGGGAGGGAGGGAGAACCGGGCAGAGGAAGCCGCCTCGGGACCCGGAGACCCGCCTCCCGGGTGGCGCGGCCGGAAGAAGGGGATCTGTCAGCGGGGACCGTTCCCCGAACGGAGGAGGCTGCGCCGGTCCGCTTCGCCAACCGCCGCGCTCTCTTCGAATCCGCCCCAGCGCGCCCTCGCCTCCCAGCCTTTCTCTCAGCCCCGGCCCACCGCAGGCCCCGCCCCCGCCCTCCCTCTCCCAGCAACCGAGGTGACGGCGAGAAGCGCGCCGCCCAATAGCTGCCGCGCCTGGCGAGAGGGCGGAGCCTTCCGAAGCCCGCGAGGCTCTGAGGGCCGCGGCGGGAGGCTGGGAGGTGGGAGGTGCCGGCCTGGCCCCGCCCCTCCGGACGCCTAGAACCGCGGCCTCTGATTGGGCTTTTGTGTGTGTCTTGCTCCGCTGAAAAGATTAAGGGTTCATTTGTTAACCACCAGGTACCTAATACGGCACCGTGGCGCTAGCTCCTCCCATGGGGCGGGGCTCCACCTTGTTAATTAAGTAACTGCTTCGGTAACTCTGGTTTTACTACCTGAGACGGGATCTTGAAAGAGGAGTAAATATGGTGGTAGAGGAGTCAAAGGAGGATCTAGTGGAGGTAGTGAACGCAAGATTCAGAAATGTATTGTGTGTGTAAGGGCCTTGCTTAGCGTCTGGATGGCTATCTTAAGTGACAGCCCTTTTAAGGAAAAGTTTCACTTTCCCACCCAAGGGCGTTCCTGAGAAAGAAGCACCACGCCCTCAGACTAAGCTAACCCTTAACCACCTGCGTTAGGACCTGCCCAGCTCTGATTCCTGAGCCTCCCCCATAAAAGTTCCGGAACCCAAGCCTGTTTTGCCTCTCTCTCCTATAGAGAGATGGCCTGTATTTGTGAGCTCTGACCAATAAACTTTCATGTGTATCTCTGCCTGGTCTCTGTATCATTTCTTGCTTACCAGTCTCTGGTTCCTCGCTTTCCTTTCAATTTGGTGCTGAAACCAGGCATCGGTTCCCGGGTGTGCCCCCTCTCCTTTTCAAGGACCACTGAGGGTTCCCAGGCCAATCTGAATTCCATCATGGGACCAGGCCCTCCATTCTGCTGAATGCCTTCTCCGCACCCACTACTGGACGTTCCAGGTAAGACACCTATCTCTGGTCTACCTAAACAACCTATGGGTCCCAGGAAATGATTGTTGAATGTCCAGCATTCCCAGGGTTACTGTGTGGGCAGGGGCACCCCCAGTCTTAGCTGTCACAGCTACAGCTGATCCCTACTGTGACCAAGTCTATAGGTCTTTTATTTAGTACTGGGTTTTGAGAAAAAAACCACAGAGGGTGATTAGGAGTTATTCCTACCTCTTGGCCTTGGATTACTCTCTACGGCTTCTGCCCCTACTATGTAGTCTCGGCTGGACATCCAAGTGCCTCTAAAGGTCCTGCCCCAACGCTTACCCAGCAGTGGTGATAACCCCCTGAGCATAACCGTCCTCTAGACTAGGTGATACTAGAGACTGGGGGCCACCCCACCTCTAAACTCACCTCCTGCTTCTCACCATGGGCAGCTCCTCATCCATGCCCTCCCATAGCCTCTGGGGCTGCTTCCTGGCTAACCTAGGGTCTCTCTCTTCTCACCCCAGACCTAAAGCCCCCAGATCTTATCCAATCAGATCTGGCCTTAATATCCTTTGGATAACAACTCTAAATGGCCACTTGTGGCACTCTAGATCCCAATATTATCAGGGATCTTTTCAACTATAGTGAGCGTTCAGGAAAATGGAAAGAAGAATCATGTTCAGGCCTTCTCCTCTACACTATAAGCTCTCTCTCTGCAACTCTTGCTCTCCTGCCCAAGTCCTCTTAGCTCTCACCTACGCCTGCTTCCAAAGGGGTAGAAGATACTATCCAGAACTCCTCCTTCGACCCAGCTGATGAGCTCCCACCATACCATAATTCTCTTTCTAATGAAGCCTTCGCAGCAACTGTCCCCTTGGGCCCTCTGCCCTTCTCTTCTCCTGCCACACTCTCACAGGTTGCCACTGCCCAACGGACATCTCTGTGTCCTCTACACGAGGTAACGGGTAGATGGTGTAATCAAGGTTCATGTGCCTTTCTCTTTGTCAGATCTTTCACAGACAGAAATGCAACTTCTGTCCTATACTTCAAGTCCCATCACATATATCAAAGAGTTTCAATATCTGACTCAGTCATATAATTTGATCTTCCACAATGTCCATATGATGTTGTCTAACACCCTCCTGCCCGAGGAACGCAGATAAGTTTGGGAGCAAGCTAGAAATTATGCTGATGAGGTACATCAGACCTCCTCTGCCTACCCGATTGGCACTGCAGCAGTCCCTTATCGGGACCCCAATTGGGATTATAATTCACCTAGAGGAATAACTAGTAGAAACCAATTAATTACTTGCCTCATGACAGAACATAGAAAGGCAGCCCATAAGGCTGTCAATTCTGAAAGGCTCCAAGAAATCTTCCAAGATAAGAATGAAAACCCTTCAACATTTTTAGACCACCTGACCAAGGCTTTATTAGATTATACTAATCTGGAACCTGAAACTCCAGATGGAAACAACTACTAATGACCTACTTTTTCTCCAGAGTTTCCCCCATATTAAGGCCAAACTAAGGTACCTCAAGGGGGGCCCCTAAGTCCCAAGCTAAGGTTCTGGAAGTGGCCTTTAAGGTGTATAATGAGAGAGACCAGAAGGCCCAGAAGCAGAAATATCAGATGCTCGCTCAAGCCATCCATCCAGCCTCAGCATCTGTCCCTGGTTCCGCTGGCCCATGGAAGGGTCCCTCGGGACCACCCAGACCCTGTTTTAAATGTGGTCAGATGAGTCACTGGGCTCATACAGGTCCTAAGCCTTTCAAGCCTCCAGACCCTTGTCCTAAATGCCATCAAAAGGGACACTGGACCATTGACTGTCCCTGAGCCTATAGTGGCCCCCAGCCATCTGGCCTTTCTAGTTCCCGTTTCCAACTCTTAGGACTGGCTGCAGAGGACTGACGAGGCCCAGGTCCCCATCACCCGACCACTATCAGCACTCAATGGGAACACAGGGTAACTCTGCACATTTCAAGTAGGCCTGTCTCATTCCTCCTAGACATTGGGGCTACATATTCAGTCCTCAAGGAGTTCTGCGGGCCTACTACTCGTTCTATGAAGAGTATCTTGCAACCCTTGGGGGAGAACTGTTCATATCAGCTGAGTGGAGTTATAAGCCTCAGGGTCTGTCAGTAGAGGGTAAACCCTACCAACCCTTACAGACATCTAGGCTCATTTGAGCTTTTGGCTCTCTTAATTTTAACTCACTCCATTTTGGTCATTGCACAGTGCCCTCTTCCCCTTATGGGAAGGGCCATTCTCACAACGTTGGGGGCTACACTTTCCTTCTCCCATCATATACACTTCCATCCAGACTTGCCTGCTGCTCCCCTGATCCTCACCCTTATCTTAAGGCCATCTCCTATTCTGTCTGTCAGTGCCTTCCCATTACCCACTTCTGAGGTGGGCCCTACTGTCTGGGATGCTTCAAGTTTTTCTATCACCTCACACCACAAGCCCATTCACATTAGTCTCAAAGACCCCCTTAATTTTCTGGTCCAATCACAATACCCATTCTCCCGACAAAAACTCCTAGGCTTACAGCCTATCATTCAAGACCTCTTGCAAAAGGGATTCCTTAGACCTACTCATTCCCTTTATAACACCCCCATCTTGGCAGTGAAAAAGCCTAATGGTTCCTACTACTTAGTCCAAAAGCTCTGTTCATCAACTCTGCGGTCATCCCAATCCATCCTGTGGTAACCAATCCTTATACCCTTCTCTCCACCATTCTTTCCAGGACCTCGTACTTCTCAGTACTAGACCTGAAAGATGCCTTCTTCTAAGGCGAAAATGTCTGACTCTCAAGACATTTTCACCTTTACATGAACAGACCCTGAGTCTTATAACTCCACTCAGCTGATATGAACAGTTCTCAAGGGTTGCAAGACAGCCCTCATATCTTTGGACAGGTCTTGGCTAGCATCCATACATCTCACTCAGAATATGGTGGTACACTATGTTGATGACCTTCTTTGCAGTTCCTCCTTTGAGGTCAGTTATCAGGACACCTGTAAACTTCTTAACTTCCTTTCTGCCCATGGCTATAGGGTTTCTCCATCCAAGGTACAGCTCTTCTTGGCAATTGTAACAAAGCAGGCCTCCTCCTGATGTCTACACACAAAGCCATTATGGTTGATAGAAAGAGCCTTATCTCTAATATATCAACACCCTCTCTAAGGAAGAAATTCTCTCCTTTCTAGGTATGGCAGGATTCCTCAGAGCTTGGATTCCTAACTACTCTATATTGGCTAAGCCTCTATATGATGCAGCCCGGGGCCCACTCTCTGAATTCCTATTGTACTCTGTTACAATGCCCTTTACCAGGCTCCAGCAGGCTCTCCTCCAGGCCCCTGCTCTCCATCTCCCTGATCTCACATGCCCATTTCATTTTTATGTGGCTGAAAAGCAGGGATTTGCTCTGGCTGAAAATAAGGGATTTGCTCTAGGGTCCTCAGACACATGCTGGGGCCAACCTTTGCCCCTGTGGCTTATCTGTTGAAGGGTCTTGACCCTACTGTTTGGATATGGGCCCCTTGCCTATAAACATTGACCACAGTCTCTCTACTCATTAACGAGTCAAAGAAACTCACCTTTAGGGCCCCACTCACCATCCTGGCTCCCTATCACCTAAAGAAACTCCTCACCTACAAGGGCTTACATTCCTTACCCACCTGTCGCCTTTTATCTCTACAGGTTTCCCTGGTGGAAAATCCCAGTCTTACTTTCCACACGTGCTCACCTTTAAACCCTGCTACTCTCCTCCCTGCTCCTCAGAACTCTTCCAGCTCTTCTCCTCTTACCATTCATGCATTGAAACTCTGGAGTTTCACATATACAGAAGGCCCCTTGCTCTAGGCAACATGCACATGGTTCACAGATGGCTCCTGCTTCCTTCAGGAAGAAGTTCAACAGGCAGGTGTGCTGTAGGCTCTCTAACCTCAATAGTGGAAGTGGTTTCCCTCCCCTTTAATACATCCAATCAGCACGCTGAACTGGTTGCCCTCATCAGAGCCTTCAT